CTCTGCAGCACAGAGTGTCTCATGTAGCAGATATTTTAGAGAAAGTTGTCTGGAGACCTGCACACATAGAATAACCGTCCCTACAGTCTCATGTTTGTTGGGATTCGGGTAAACCGGCCCTTCAAGGCAGCGCTTTACCCAAACCTGCCACTGACGTGTTACATTTCTTCATGAGGTGAAATTCACAGAGCATACTTTCCCATCGGCATTTAAACGGACGGGCAGGTCTTTTCTGTTTTCCTGATATTATAAAGTGCAGTTTTATTACATATTGAACTCTGACATCACCAGCTACACTCAAAGCTTGTTTTACTTGTCATAAATGGCACCATTTGGCCTACAGACATAGTTGTGCAGCTGTCATCTGTGGTCCAGACTGTTTTTGGTAAATCTGAGAGAGTAGTGTGGATTGTTGTCATCTCAGTGTGAGCTTTAAGACGACACGTATGTAAGCAGAAACCCTGCAAACTGTGCCGTGTGAAGCTTCAACGTCTGTTCAGGGTCTAATGAAAAGTTTGAGACCCTGAACTTAATGGTAATGTGATTCTAACCTGCTGTGATATTCCACCGAAGCTGCAGCTCTGTTGAAATCACAAAGCTAAACGTGGATTCCTCTCTGCTCTCTTCCCCAGGCATCGGTCTCAAGTACGTAGCCCTGGGAGACGTGGTAATCCTCATCACCTTCGGCCCTCTGGCGGTCATGTTTGCCCACGCCGTGCAGGTCGGCTACCTCTCCGTGCTGCCGCTGGTGTACGCCGTCCCGCTGGCCCTCAACACAGAAGCCATCCTCCACAGCAACAACACCAGAGACATGGACTCTGACAAGCAGGCCGGCATCGTCACCCTGGCCATCCTGGTGGGGCCCACGCTGTCGTACGTCCTCTACAACCTGCTGCTCTTCGTCCCCTACGTGCTCTTCTGCATCCTCGCCACCCGGTACACCATCAGCATGGCGCTGCCTCTGCTCACGCTGCCCATGGCCTTCCCCCTGGAGAAGCAGTTCCGGAGCCGATGCTACGCCAAGATCCCCCAGAAAACGGCCAAGCTCAACCTCCTCATGGGACTCTTCTACGTGTTCGGGATCATCCTGGCGCCTCCTGGCAGCTTGCCGTCACTGTGATTCGTTAGCGCTGACATTTCAGATTTTGTTGTTTTAACGCAGACTAGTTTATGTACCTCTTTGTATTTGTACGACTCTGTCTACAGGCTTTTACTGGCTTTAATTTATTGTTTAATTTATAAGTTGAACAAAGATTTAGTTTAGTTCCCCCTCTGTGACGCTGAAGGCACAGTCAGTATTAAACCTGCTGCTGGTGTCGGGCAGCAGTGCTGTAGAGCCGAGCGATGGACGGTAGACCTGCAACACTGACACCTGGGAAACATGAATAAACTGTTGTTCTCATCGTTGTACTGTCTGTATGGTACATGCTGTTCATTTGCTCATCGTGATGGTCTTTTTGGAGAGCCCAGTAGGATTTCATTTAATTGTAATAAAACCTACCACGCTGATGTGCCACGTCTTCTTTCCGGGTCGAAGCCAAGAAAGTTTCCCCTTCTGCACAAATATGATCGTACATGTGGCAGGGAACGTAAAGCAAAGAGTTGGCTTGATGACAGGTTAATGAACAGGGCTGCAACATCACTAAGAAAGGTTTCAGATCATGAAAACGTTCTGACACGGAGGCTTCATCTGAGAGAAAATATCAAATCCAGTTTATTGTCATGTTGCTGTACATGCACAGGAGTCCAGGCAGGATGAGAGAGTGTCTCTTCAGGATCCAATAAAGCAGTGTGTGCACATCTGGATCAGCAGCATCAGTCTGGAGGTTCTTCCTTTAATGCTCCTGACGGCAGCAGTTCATGGAGAGGCTGTGAGGAGTCCCTGACAGTGTTCAGGGTCCTGCTCCTGCTCTGGAGAAGTTCTTGGACAGAGGTGAGGGAAACTCTGATGCCCCTCTCTGCTCCTCTAACTATCCTCTGCAGGGCTTTTCTGTCCGACACACTGCAGCTGGAGAACCATGTGGAGATGCAGGATGCTCTCCACCAGGATGCTGGCAGCTTGTTTCAGCTTCCTCTCTATGTAGCCTACAGAGATAAAGCAACACCTCAGCTTAGAATATGAATTGCAGAGTTTTTATCAGACTGGAACTTGCAAACTAAAAGAGCAGCACACATTCCATTCCACGGATGTTTTCCTTTGTGTCGGTGGAGCGATAAAAAGCTGACATTGAGCTGCTGCAGCACGTTCTGATACAGAAAAGGCTTCGAGTGTATTTATTGTATCTGACCTTTGCGCCTATTTTCACTGAAAATTACATTTTTTGCTACAAGCACAACATTATCTGCGTCTGGTTGTTCTGAACGTGGACGTATAAAATAAAAAGGTGTGAAGATATGGAAACTGCTGCCGTTCCTCAAACAGCTAGTGAGCCTCCCAGCCTGCTGTAAGAGTTTGATAGATGCTTAAATGGTGATTGTTAATCACAGATGCAGGTGGTGTGTTGTTCCTGGAGAGGACAGGAACAGCAGCAGCTCATTGCTTTCTCTTTCTTTCTTTCTTTCTTTCTTTCTTTCTTTCTTTCGGAGAGCCAAACAGCCCGTTTAGAGCAGGGCAACAACCAGAGATTATACAGTCATGGTCAAAAGTTCAAGTTCAAAAAGGATTTATTGTCATTTCAACCACATTCAGCTGTACAGCACACAGTGGAATTACAGCGTTTCCCAGATCCAGAGCTAAGCTGGTAGTGCAAAGAATGCAGTGCAAGAAGAGAAAATAAAATAAAACAAGGGCATGGTGGCTCGGTGGTTAGCACCGTCGCCTCACAGCTAGAAGGTCGCTGGTTCACGTCCCGGTGAGGACACCCGGGATCTTTCTGCGTGGAGTCTCCATGTTCTCTTGTCTGTAGGTGTGAATGTGAGTGTGCTTGGTTGTCTGTCTCTAAGTGTAGCCCTGTGATAGACTGGTTACCTGTCCAGGTGAACCTGCCTTCACCATGTGTATGGATGATGGATGGATGGAACAATCTTTACAGTATTGTGAGCCGACGAACTTGACAGATACCTTGTGGAGACATGTGAGACTTTAATTATTTTGCTGAGAAGTGGCCCAATGTGGGACCTTTAACGTTTCACAGCTGCAAATGTTAATGTGTGCAGTTTGTCAGCAGGGGGCAGCATTGAACAACGGTTACAACAACAGACAGCTGCTTTGTGCATGACCAGTAAACAACCTGTGAAGACCAATATTTCGTTCAGCTGGCGTAAAACTTTCTTGTGCATCACATCTGTCTTGAAAGGTCAAAATCTCTATTGGTAGTACTGATTGTATTCCTGGTTTGTTTCATGGTTGTTCTCGTAGTTTAATTGTAGCAACTGGACTTGCTTGAGTTCCTTGAAGACGTTCCACCTCTCATCCAAGAGGCTTCATCAGCTTTGACTGACTAGTTGGGAGTTCCAGATACTGATCTCCTTAAGGAGCCATTAACACCTGAGTTTCGGTTTCAGTTGGAGGTTTGTTGCTCCTCCCCCTCGTTATGTGAGTCATCAATGCTCCCCCTGACACAGTGGGGTTCGTAAAGGTTTTTGTGGCTAGGTGTGGATGTGGGTTCATCTTCCTGGGGAGAGATCTTAGGACTGAACTGTAAACAGGTGAGAGGTGATGCCTCAGACCTCCAACTCTGCTGAGGGATGGTCTCTCCAGTTGGACATAGATGGCTTCTTTCACTCCTCTCTCAAACCATCTGTCCTCCCTGGACAACATCTGTACATTATTGTCTTCAAATGAGTGTCCTTTGTCCTTGAGATGCAGGTGGACTGCTGAGTCCTGTCCTGAGGAGCTGCTCTTCCACAAGGCTCAGCACAGAAGAGCAGCTCCTCAGGACAGGACTCAGCAGTCCACCTTCAGCTCAGGGACAAAGGAGCAACAAACCCCCAGCTGAAACCGAAACTCAGGTGTTAATGGCTCCTTAAGGATATCAGTATGTGGAACTCCCAACTGGTCAGTCAGAGCTGATGAAGCCTCTTGGATGTTACAGTATTTGAGTGCATTTAGACTCTGATGCTTTAATTGGGTTTAGTTGGTAGGGCTTCATCTTAATAATTACCCTGCATCCCTCTGCATCTCTGTGGGTTGTCTGTGCTCTGATATCCACCCATCGCCCGAAGACAAATAAATTGGAAGCCAATGCCACTCTCATCTTGTCAGTGATGTACGGTAAATAACTATTTCATTTGTGCATAAAGACACTCAGGCTGTCGATGCACGTTCCTGTTAGATTCTGAATGTGAGCTTTTGTTGTGACATACTTCATGGCTTTATTGTCAAAGAATAAGAAAAGTGCACCCCTGTTTTCTACAGACTACAATGTGCAACATCACTTAAATGTCAAATGATCCAGAGTTGTTGATGATCCTCCTCACCGTGGAGGATCACCTGCCATCCTGCACAGACTGTTTGGTTCCAGCTGCTCTTTGCTGGACGGGTCGTGTTGCTCTATCTTCCTCTTTAAAACGCCTCAAATGTGTTCTGTTGGATTCCAGTCAGGTGTCATGCTTGTCATTGCTGATCGTTTTTTGAAACTCTAGGTGGGATTTTGGGTCATTATGATGCTGGAATACTGTTCTTCTGCCAAGCGTCTGGTGACCGGGAGTCATCTTGACAGCCAGTGTTTTAGTTTATCTACATGGTTTCATCTATAAATGTCACCTCCCCAAGATGTTTTGCACTCCTGCAGCCCCACATCATCTCATCACTGTTGGGGCTTCGCATTCACTGTGGTCAGGTTCACATCAAACATGGTTGGCCTGAATATTCACCAAGCTTTCTTTCATGTTCTTTAGGAGTGCTCCATCTTGTAGAGTTGTACCAGACAGCAGGCCGGCGTGTTTTTCTGTCTGTGACAGAAATTCCAATTTCAATTCAGAACTTCTGCACCAAGTCTAAAACACCTGCTCACCTGTTTTTCAGAGCTAGATTGTGACCGTACGCTGACTCTGGCATCATTTTAGAAGTACGGCCTTATGAGCAGGTACTATGACTCATTCTACGATTACACTTCCTGTTTACTGCTGCAAACTGTGTTTCCGCTGATTTTTAATTGGTCGTTGATCTTCCTCAATCTATCTTGAATTATCAGATGGAGCCTCAGAAGCTGTTGTGCGTAGCTGGAGAACTGCAGCAGACTCATTTAAAGAACTTTTGATCTGATTATCTCTCTTTAATCGTTATGTCTGACAATTGTGGGAATGCTGGTTTGGGTATTTTTTGTTTTTGTTTTTTTTTTTTTTTGTGGGAATGCTGGTTTGGGTATTTTTTGTTTTTGTTTTCTTGTTTTTTAGCTTCCTGCTTTATTTGTGTGCTTTCTACTTCTATCAGTGATTCTGTGCGCTTATTGTATTGTATTTTTTTATTTATTTTATTGAAAAGCAGTTTGTAACATTTGTTTTGAAAAGTGCTCACAAATAAAGATTATTATTATTATTATTATTATTATTATTAATAATAATAATAATAATAATAATAATAATAGATACTATGAATTAAAAACTACAAAAGATAAACAGAATAAACTAAAATAAGGTACAAAATAAGTATTGTACAGTTATGACTATTATTGCACACAGTCAGGGGTATATTGCAGGTGAGAAAAATCTGAGTATAATATTATAGGATTCAAGGATTCAAGGTCTTTTATTGGTCACAAACACAGTCATACATGTTATAAGGTGCAGTGAGATGCGTTGTGCACCTGTTCCACAATAATAATAAACAATAATAATAAGATAAATAAGAATAAAGAATAAAACATACAAGAAGTAAAATATACATATATATGAATGTATACATATCTATATATAAAGAGAGAGAGAAATAGCAGAAATAAATAAATCAAATTTCCAAACAGTGCAAAAAAGGGGATAAAACAAATAAAAAAAATAAGAATAAAAATAAAATAATAAAGTGACCTGTATAATATTATATATTAGCATCCAGACGTTGTTCCTGGTGCCGTCCTGCCCTAACAAGGCCCTCAGCTCCACCAGCTCCAGCAGCAGCAGCGCAGCGGCACCGAGTGGACGTGACGCGAGACCAGCTGACCCGTGTTGTTTATTACGAGGAGCGCGTGAAGGCAGCTCCGGCGGTGACGCAACGCATGGGCGTGTTGTCATGGCTGCGAGCGGCGGCGGAGCCTCTCAGCGCACCAAACGCTGCTCTGAACAAGCGATGTCAGCGCCGGTGGCGGACAGCGACACGGGACCACGTCTGACCGCAGAGTAAACAGTCCCGACAGAGAGCCGGTAAGCAGCTACGGCGCGACCCGAGCGGTTTGTGGACCGGAACAGGCTGGTCAACGTGAGTTAGCTAGCTAGCGCCACCGGACGAGCTAGTCCTGCGCACGAGCCCACCTTCCTGAAAAAGCCACGCACGGTTCTGCTCAGTGTTGACCGAACGAGGGTTCCGACGTGGTGCTGACTACATACCAATCTGTGTGTGTGTGTGTGTGTCCCAG